GGCCACCAAGATGGCGGTCATCGTGATGGGTGGGCACCTTGGTCCTGGTCACCATGATCATGGTCATCATGATGGGTGGTCACCTTAATCCTGGTCATTGTGATAGAGGCCACCGTGATGGCGGTCATCGTGATAGTTGGTCACCTTGATCCTGGTCATTGGGATGGAGGTCACCAAGATGGCGGTCATCGTGATCCTGGTCAGCGTGATGGTGGCCACCAAGATGGTGGTCATCGTGATGGGTGGTCAGTGTGATGGGTGGTCACCTTGGTCCTGGTCACCTTGATCCTGGTCATTGGGATGGGTGGTCACCTTGGTCCTGGTTACCATGATCATGGTCATCATGGTGGTGGCCCCTGTGATCATGGTCACTTTGATCCCGGTCATCGTGATGGGTGGTCATCTTGATTGTGGTCACCATCATCATGGCCATTGTGGTGGTGGCCACCATGATCCCGGTCATCGTGAGCCTGGTCAGCGTGATGGGGGCCACCAAGATGGCGGTCATCGTGATGGGTGGTCACCTTGGTCCTGGTTACCATGATCATGGTCATTGGGATGGAGGCCACCATGATCATGGTCACCTTGCTCCTGGTCACCATGATTGTGGTCACTGTGATCCTGCTCATCATGATTGTGGCCACCATGATGCTGTTGGACCGTCATTGGGGTGGGGGACGTGGTGTGGGAGGGTTGGGTGGGGAGATGTCAGGAGGTTCTTCCAGGGGAGGATCTGACCAGGTGGATCCCAGGAGATGTTCCAGCAAAGGACTGGTCTGGATGGACACGGGAAGTTCTTCCAGGGGAGGATTGGTCCAGGTGGATCCTGGAAGATGTTCCAGCAAAGGGTTTCTCCTGGTGGATCCCAAGGCTGTTCCAGGGAAGGATTTTCCAGGTGGATCCCAGGAGATCTTCCAGCAAAGGTTGCTCTGGGTGGACACGGGAAGTTCTTCCAGGGGAGGATTTCTCCAGGTGGATCCCAGGAGATGTTCCAGCAAAGGGTTTGTCCTGGTGGATCTCTGGAGGTTCTTCCATGGGAGATCTTCCAGGGCCTCGATCCTGGAGTTGGTTCTGGGGCTCTCCTGCTCCAGGTGGGTTTTCCTGGACTGAGAACTTTGGGATCCCCAATTCCCTGTGGATCAAGAACTTTGGGATCTCCATGGATCCAGAACTTTGGGATCCACAATTCCCAACAGATCAGGAACTTTGGGATCCTCCTGGAATGAAAACTTTGGGATCTCCATGGGTCGAGGACTTTGGGATCAGGAATTCCCAATGGAATGAGAACTTTGGGATCCCCCAATTCCCAACGGATTGAGAACTTTGGGATCTCCATGAACTGAGAACTTTGGTATCCCCAATTCCAAATGGATCAAGAACTTTGGGATCCCCAATTCCCAACGGATCCAGAACTTTGGGATCTCCATGGATCCAGAACTTTGAGGTCCCCAATTCCCAGCAGGTTGAGAAATTTAGGATCCTCCTGGAATGAGAACTTTGGGATCTGGAATTCCCAATGGCTCGAGAACTTTGGGATCCCCCAATTCCCAACGGATTGAGAACTTTGGGATCTCCATGGACTGAGAACTTTGGGATCCCCAATTCCTTGTGGATCCAGAACTTTGGGATCCCCAATTCCCAACGGATCCAGAACTTTGGGATCTCCATGGATCCAGAACTTTGGGATCCTCAATTCCCAACAGGTTGAGAACTTTGGGATCCTCCTGGACTGAGAAGTTTTGGGATCCCCAATTCCCAATGAATCGAGAACTTTGGGATCCCCAATTCCCAACGGCTCCAGAACTTTGGGATCTGGAATTCCCTGTGGGATGAGAACTTTGGGATCCCCAATTCCCAATGGATCAGGAACTTTGGGATCTCCATGGATCCAGAACTTTGGGATCCTCAATTCCCAACAGATCAGGAACTTTGGGATCGTCCTGGAATGAGAACTTTGGGGTCTCTATGGGTCGAGGACTTTGGGATCAGGAATTCCCAACGGATCAGGAACTTTGGGATCTCTATGGACTGAGAACTTTGGGATCCCCAATTCCCAGCAGGTTGAGAACTTTGGGATCCTTCTGGAATGAGAACTTTGGGATCTCCATAAACTGAGAACTTTGGGATCCTCAATTCCCAACGAATCTAGAACTTTGGGATCCCCGATTTCCAGTGGATCCAGAACTTTGGGATCTCCATGGACTGAGAACTTTGGGATCCACAATTCCCAATGGAGCGAGAACCTTGGGATCTCCATGGATCCAGAACTTTGAGGTCCCCAATTCCCAGCAGGTCGAGGACTTTGGGATCTGGAATTCCCAATGGAATGAGAACTTTGGGATCCCCAATTCCCAACGGATCCAGAACTTTGGGATTCCCCTGGGATGAGAACTCTGGGATCCCAAATTTCCAGTGGATCAAGAACTTTGGGATCCCCAATTCCCAGCAGGTTGAGAACTTTGGGATCCTCCTGGAATGAGAACTTTGGGATCTCCAATTCCCAATGGATCAGGAACTTTGGTATCTCCATGGATCCAGAACTTTGGGATCCACAATTCCCAACGAATCCAGAACTTGAGGATCCTCCTGGAATGAGAACGTTGGGATCTCCATGGACTGAGAAGTTTGGGATCCCCAATTCCCAATGGATCAAAAACTTTGGGATCTCCATGGATCCAGAACTTTGGGATTCCCCTGGGATGAGAACTCTGGGATCCCCAATTCCCAACGGATCAGGAACTTTGGGATCCTCAATTCCCAACAGGTTGAGAACTTTGGGATCCTCCTGGAATGAGAAGTTTTGGGATCCCCAATTCCCAACGAATCGAGAACTTTGGGATCTCCATGGATCCAGAACTTTGGGATCCCCAATTCCCACCCGATCCCCAAACTTTGGGCTCCCCCATTCCCCACCTCTCCCCCCTTTTCCCACATTTTCTCCCCATATTTAAAAATTTGGGAATTCCCATCCCCTTTTTTCCCCTCCCCCCCATGGACATTCTGCACTTTATTCCAGGCTCTGGGAATTCCGGGATCGCCTTTTTTTTTTGGATTTTTTTGGGATCATCCCACAAAATTTTGGGAATTTTTGGCCTCCCCTGAGAAATCAGGATGAGCCCTGCTGGAAAAACCCGGAGCTTTTATGCAAATCCCTCCACTCCCATCCCATTTTTTCCCCCCCACAAAATTCCCAATTTTTTTTTTCCCAGAAAATTTGGGGTCAAAACAATAAAAAAAAAAATAGGAAAAAAATCCCATCAGGATTGAAATTCCCAACAAAATTCCCATTCCTGAAACGCTTTGGCTCAGGGGGGGATTTTTTTTAGGGAATCTCCTGAATTTTTAGGGAATTTTAACTCCTTGGAGGTCCTGATGCTTTTATTCCGATTTTCCTGCTTTTATCCCAAATTTCCTGCTTTTATCCCCATTTTCCTGCTCTTTTTTTTCCCCTTTTTTTTCCCATTTTTTTTCTTTCCCCCTGGCTATGCAAGAGCTCCCCCCCCCGGGATGGAAATCCCAGAAAAATCCTGGAAAAATAAAAAATTCCATGGAAAAAAAAAAATCCCGGGAAAGGCTCGGGGGAAAAATCCCGGGATTTGGGAAAAGCTTTGGGATTCCCTGGATATGCAAAGAGGGCGCCAATAAATCTGTGGAAAATGGGATTTTCTGAGAGAATTCCCA